CAAACACATCCGCTGCCACCAATGTAGAATACTCGCTCTAGTATGAAGAAGACTGGTGCAACAGAACAGGCTTTACTGACCAATCACAAGCCAGAACCACACGTCAGGCGCCTTCCATCCGAGTCCACCGCGCTGGCCACGCCGCTCATTATATACTGCATCTCATCCATGTCCTGCTCTGGTTGGCTGCCTTCCTTTCCAGCATGCCATTGGATCGCAGAGAGACACGGGATTGGCTGAGGCCAGGTGGTCCAACATGTCTGCGCCTTAATCCGACGCAACACCACGCTGCCTCCCCCTTAGGAGTGAAGCTGTCCTCAGCTTCTGGCTTGGTTCCTTGCACTGTTGTTGATATCCAGTGTTGGTAAAATATCCAGTTTGAGACTCCGCGCACCCTACATCTAGCTGGATAGTGACTCATGCGAATAGTTGACGAGGGACTTTGCTCTCGTATACTTGCAGGAAGGACTCATCATCCATCGTAGGTCCATTCGCAGATGCAGTCTAGCTGGCTTTCACTGTCCAAGTCGTCATCGTTAAGTTGCCAGTGCCTCTTCAGATGCAGTGGTCCTAATCCCGGGCAATGTCTATGGATACAGTGTATGGGACATCGGATGGCCTGATATAACAACTTCAGCTGGCATTTAAGGGCTTTTGCCTCTGTTGTCCATAGAACAGAAAGGACTGGGATTCGATTCGCGTCATTCGAACGCATCCGCCACACCATACATCGCACCACAATGCTACTCTGCATAATCTACACTGCGGTTTTTTCTCTGCTAACTCGTTTTCTGAAACACTTCTCTTTCACGCTTATTCCGTACAGTCTTGTTGCCTTTTGTTTACATTTATGCTTTTTCTAAGAACAATGGGATTACATATCGGCTGCAGGTCATGTTCAGGACTCTTCTTTCACCAGTCTTACTGCTCATCCACTCTGTGTCCGTATTCATATCGCTGGCCCTTGGCACACATGTAGACTATATTCATTAGTACACGTTATCCAATTCATCCGTTCCTGTTATGCGCGATCAATTGTAACTATTTCTGATAGGGGTTTGCAACTATTTTAGATCGGCGTTTTGTTCCTACGCTACAAATCAACGGCCGTAATTATGCGTGAGTCTGCTTATGCTTGTCTTGCCTATTGATTTTGGCACTTGGTGTTTAATTCAAAACCTTTGGCTAATAAAGTTACTTGTCGTTTTTTGAACTTTGTATTTTATAGCAAATTCCAACGATAATATTTTGTTACCAAATTACCTGTTTTCACGCGCGGGGCATGATCTATGGTTTACGTATTTATTTTGTTATTTGTTTGTAGATGTTTACTAGTGTTGATTTTAAATACAATGCTTTTGTCCAAGGCTTGTAATTCATAAGTACGTATTACTAGTTCGTCAATTTTCTGATAAATTTGAACTGTAAATTTAAACTTGGAACCTACTCCACTCTCACTACACTGATGTTGTAGCAAACTATTTAAGGTGGCAAATAAATTTTCTACTTATTATTAATTACACTTATTTGCGTTTTGTGTAAATTTCTTTATCAAGCTCTCATTACGCCATTACTTCGATTGGGATCAAGGCGCCTTATATCAACCCAACGACCGTTCGTATTTAGAAGAGTTGTTTCCCTTCAAAAACTGTACCTCCGCCCTTTTCCGATCCAATGCTTACGCACGCTTTCCACAGAGTCTACAGTCACCGGTTCTTCACAGCGAGAGGTGCAAATTAAAAAATTTGAGGCGGATACCATCAAGCTTCTAGAAATTGTTGCAAATTCATTGTACTCCGATAAAGAAGTATGCCTATTTAATCGTGTCCATATTTATTTTTTTTAGTATTTTATAGTATTCGCATTCGTATTTATCATATTCCTGTTTATCTGTGAGGTGAATTACAAGTTAATTCTGATCTTTTTATTAGATTTACCTAAGATTATTGTCTGCTTACTTCATTATTCTCCGATAACTTCAATAAGGTATTTGATAATTCAACTTCCTGTTGCCTTTTTTATAAATTTGATGGACTTCCTAAACTGTAATCAAAGGCTCTTTTATTAACTTCCAACTTGATCCAAATACTTAATGATACCTAAAGTTAAAGTCCTGGTTATTATTCCATTACAACCACATTGGCCTCAGCATGTTGTTAACTATCTTAATGCGAATATTTTGACGCTGTACTAATACCTTTTTACAGTTAATGGATTTAGATCATCAGCGAATTCAAAATATAAACCCTATTGTGCTCTCTAGATTTTTGTACGAGAACTTATTTCGAATGCTAGTGACGCAGTCGAGCGTCTTCGCTTCCTACGAATATCTAGTAATGTGAGTGGAGGCGAAGCGCAATTGGCAATTCATGTAAGCACGAACGTTGATGAACGGACACTGACAATATCCGACAACGGCATCGGCATGACAGCAGATGAAATGGAGAAAAATCTGGGCACAATCGCTAAATCGGGTTCTAGAGAATATGTGTCGCAGCTGAACCAGGCGTCCAATACCACTAAAAGCGATTCTGCAAATATAATCGGCCAATTCGGTGTGGGATTTTATTCTGCTTTTATGGTAGCAGATAAAGTAAGCATTGCACCTCTTTCATACTGGAATAGATCCCTCCCGTCACTTTTTTACTGCGTTAAATTTTGATAATGTTGGCTGCTATTCGTGAGAGTTCGAGAAAAAAGAGAGTTCAGAGTGCTGATCATCAGCTTTCTGACTGTTAAGTTCCTAAAATCGTTCATCCTTTATGACTTCCAAAATCGCAGCTTACGCGAAGGTTTCGATGTCTTTTACTGCCCTGTTTGTCACAATGATCCTACAGTTAAAATTTGTGCTCTCAAGCTTGCCTAGATGTCAAGACGCACCATAAGCAGTCTTTTTCATGTCTGACAGCTCTGTCTGAAATCCATTACTAAAATCAGTTGATTCAGCAGACAAACTCGCCTGACTGTACGAACCCGACTTCTAACAAAATTAGCCGAAGGTTCAAAATATGAGAAACGAAGGGCTTATGAATATTTGTAAAAGCAAGTCAAAGAGTAGATTTATTAGTCACCAGCCGTTGTGTTGTGTTGCTACTATTCTTGACTGTTTATGATGTAATTTTCTTTTAACGTGTTACTGACAAATCGCCATATCTCTATGCCGTTCTCGAAAATAGGCATTCCATTGAGGTTCATTTGTATACAGCAGTATTTCTGCATGGATCCTTTTTATTTACCACTTGTGCATAGAGATGTTACTAATTTTCGCCCGCAGTATCAAAAGCCATTTTTTAATAATTTAACTGGAACTTGTTTCTGTGACCTTAATTCAGCATGAAATTTAATTCAAAATCGCTTTGTGCATAGATAGGAGGGGGTTAATCCGTATAAATGTAACCTAGATCAAGTTGGTTATTCCATATCAAGCATTTCAAGTAGACAAAGCAAAAAAGGCACACTTTGGGGGGCTTGCATTTTAGATATTTCGCCATTTGCATTTTTTTTAATAATTTGCACTTTCCTCACAAATGACATTTTATAAAATTAAATCAAACACGTCTTCCGTTCTCCGCCTATAAGGTGGTGGTCTTTCATTAATATTAAATATCGGAGCGTGATGTTCATCCCAGGTTGTCAATAGAGGACGAATTTTGGCGTGTTTGACCTACAATTCAACCGCGGTTTCGGTTCCCAGGTTGAGGTGCATTCGCTGAGCCAGGCCAATGCTGAGGATAAAAAGGGGCACAAGTGGGTGTCAAGTGGGACGGAGGGTACCTACTCTATTTCTGACTCTGAAGAGGTCGCCCCTGGCACCAAGGTCATCCTTCACTTAAAAGAAAACTCTGAGGACTTTGCAAAGGAGTCCTTCATCGAATCAGTCATTCGTAAATACAGTAACTTCATTGGTGTGCCGGTGTTCCTCAACGGAAAACAAGTCAACGTAATTGAACCTCTCTGGTCTAAGGATCCATCGAAGGTAAAATATTTTCTATGGCGTTATAGGATGTCGATTGCATATTATTTTACCTCTTTTGAGTGGTAAATGTGTGGTGGTTGATTTGGAGACTGTTTTTAGCTATCTCATTTTTGGTAGGTAACCGACGAACAATACAATACCTTTTACCGCTTCATCACTGGTGAAAATCATGAGCCACCGCGCTATCGAATATGCTTCAAAACAGATTCGCCCATCAATTTGCGTGCCCTTCTTTTTATCCCATCAACGAAACCAACTATCTTTGAGACTGCCAAAGAAACGTGCGGCTCACTCTCACTTTACAGTCGAAAGGTTCGTGTTTGGGCTTATTAATGCGGACTGTTTTTAGCACCACAAATGTTTTTAATTAGTTCTGCTTTAAAAGTGGTTGTTATATCATTAAAAGTCAACCCACCTCATTCGTCATAACCTCAGTTCGGATCAATGTGCGTGGTTATCAAATTTGATGCTGTATCGACTTTGCTGATGTCACATCTGTTGTCAAAAGCACGTAGAAAAGTTAAATTCGTGAATTTTATCTATTGACAATCTCAAGTCCTCAAATATTGGTGCAATCATTTTTGTCTGTCCCGTCAAAAGCGATCACATTAACTGAATGCCGCTGATGCTTCCCCGATTAGTAAAGTAAGCTTTTAGTTTCAGTCCAGTTCCATTTACCGTTTTGGTCGTGCTTGAACATTACTTAAATTCAGTTGGATAAGATTTTTTTGTTGCTACCTTCCGTGTTGTTGCCATTTTACTACCAGTTAACTTTGATAACCGTTTTCACTAAGGTTCTCATTATGAACAAAGCTGACCATTTACTTCCCAAATGGCTCCGTTTTGTCCGCGGTGTTGTCGACAGCGAAGATGTTCCTCTTAACTTGAGTCGTGAGTTGCTTCAGGATCATGGTTTAATCCGAAAAATTAATCGCATTCTGACATCCCTCGTTCTTCGATTCCTGTTGGTATGTTGTCTCCTCTGCATTGTAAATGTCAAATTAACTAAAATTTCATATCAGCAAATGAAAACGCCTGTTTGCCTCCATTTTAGAGCGAGTCAAAGCACGACGCAAATAAATTCTCTGCTTTTCTCAACGACTTTGGGCTCTATTTGAAGGAGGGAATCGTTGTCGAAACGGAGCAGTCCTCTCGAGAGGAGATAGCCAAATTACTGCGATTTGAAAGTTCTGCACTGCCTCCGGGTCAAACAACCAGCTTTGATGAATATGCCTCTCGCATGCGTGCTGGTGAGCGAAACATCTGCTTCTTATCTGCTCCGAACAGGGAACTGGCTGAGGTTTCACCTTATTTCGAGGCCATCAAAAAACAGCAGAATGAAACTGAGGTATATATGGGAAGAAACTTGCTGAAACGTATTCTTTAATGCCTAGAGACCTAATTCGTGATGAATCAGAATGCTAATTTTTGCTCTTCAGGTACTTTTTCTTTACGAACCCTACGATGAATTGGTGTTGATGAATATGGGACAATACGATAGAAAGAATTTGTGCTCCATTGAAAAGGTCCTTGCGGATGACGTCTGCGATGCAGACAAAGTGGACAAAAGTGCACCCGATTGCCTCTCTCAAGAGGAGGCGAAACATCTCTCTAAGTGGGCTCAGGAGACACTCGGTCCCAAGGTCAAAAAGGTCAAGGTTAGTATTGGTGCTATTAACTTTGACTTACGCATGTTACCTTTCACATGCGAGAGGAGACTGACTATCCGTTTCTGGCTTCAATGATCGCCCTTGTGTCGGTGCTCGCAATTTAACGATCGGTCACTGAGCATTAGTTTTTGCTTGGCGCAATTCTGTTTTACCTTTGAATAGAGGAGTGTGACGTTCTTGGTAGTCTGGCAGGCATTAATGTCCAAAAGGCTAGCTGTAGACTTGTACGAAGTGCAGCGTCAAATGGCCAATTATGGCAGCACATTTCCAATTTCCAGTTCGTGTCGCTCGTGCGGATTGTTGTGTCTTGACCGAGGATGTTTGCCACCTCATCTTCGACCACGAGTTGGACCAAGTCTAGAATACTTTCCTTGGTTTACCCAGTCTGTTTCAACCACTGCCAATTTTAACAGTCTCGAAGAGTGGTGGTGGACTCAACTTTCTTGGTCTATATCCAATTTCTGCCAATTACTGATTTCATAAAGTTGAGACCAGTCTCTTTAACTCTCTGTTTGCTGTAAATACCCTAGAATACGTTGAACGTCATTTTTGTTCACATTTTAAATTGTTCCCATCACGCCAGCTTTTAGCACATAACAGTTATCTTGGGTTATCTGCGTGATAAATTTGGAATAATTTAAGGGAAAAGCTGGCAGTGCGCCTAGAAGGGATCTCTTAACTTTTTAAAAATATGCTTGCTTTTAGATAACCCAACGGCTCACCTTGCACCCTTGTTGTGTTCAAATTCGCAATGCCGGTGCGATGCGTCACCTCTTGCGGACGACACTGGCTGGTCGGCCGGCTGCGGAGAAATACCACTTAATGGAGCCAGTATTGGAACTGAATTCCAGTCACCCTTTAGTTCGCCACCTGGCTCGCCTTGCTTCTCCCTCTGCTACCCCGGATGATAGGGTCCTGGCCACAGCCCTCGTTGATTATCTCATGGACGCTGCCATGGCACATGCCGGCCTCCTCGACGAAGTGCGGGAGATGGTCTCCCGCAGCTCGCAACTCCTTACATTGATGGCTGAGAAAATGAATAAGACCCCAAACTAATCGGTGTACACTTAAATAGTTAACCGATGTTATGTGCTTTATATATTACATGTAAAATGTCTTATGGTTGGTGTTGTTTGTTTAAATCCAACATAAGAACTTTCGCGTTGTAATCAACTGTCACCATCTTCCCATTGTGGGTTTGTTCCGTCAACTGCTATTTTAGTCGGTATGCACACGGTATTTGTTGTATCCAGCATAATTATGGTATCCTTGCCATGGTGTCATGATTTAGAACAAGACGTTTTGCAGGCTTCCAAGTACATTGCAATTATTTTACCATGAAATGGCCCTCTAAATTGTTTGATTCCGACTTTCAGGGCGTGCTAACCCAGCATGATGTGTGCCAATTCACGACTGCTCCCATGTTTTAAGAATAACTGGTTCTGTTTCTTTTCAGTCGTACCCCGAAGTGCTTGAAAAGAAAAGCAGACTGCTTACTTTCTGTTAACGCATCGTCCACACAGAAACCATGCTCCCCACATGCATGAACCAACACGATCTACCAACTGTCTTATAGGAACAATAAGAGTCCGAGCTTCAATTGCCTCTGGTCTACATTTCGTAATCTCATTGCATTGGATCGTACTTTGTACAACTTGGTCGACTGCGGTGTAGTAAACCAGATTGTAATGCACATTTAATGTCCAATAAATTACAACAATCCTGGAGTGAAAAATGTGGCAGACGAAATTCATTGATGTGAATTTTCGAACTGCAGACACAAACCCAACTGGAGATATCCGCCTACTTCCCCTTACACAGCACATTGTTTACCGCCTATTTCGCCGGATGAGAAGTTGTAGTAGTGGCGATCATTTATCATTATTGAGACAAGGAAAGGAAAAGCCTTATGATATAAATTATTAAGCGCAAGTAGTTGTTTCGAAATGACACTATTAACGTGGTTATTACAAGTACGAGGTGGTGTTTGGTGGGACAGAAGGTTGAGGGTAATTGTATGTCGACAAATTCATCCCGTAAGCTGGTTGTTGGGAATCCACTGAAGATGTGTACGACTGAATATTTTGAATGAAATTCTCATTTTGGAAGGAATTGTTGAAAGGCAAATTTGTCGTGAAACCTCCAGGGTTTCCTGGGGCAGTAGTCGTGAGATAGCTCCCATAGTTCGAGGTACCACTCATGGATGCAGTTATTGGGTTTTGAGAAATCCGATTGGGTACAGATTGATCGTATTTTCCTAAAGAAGCCCACGCAGAATAACCCGGTGATCGCGCATAAGGACTGAAGTTGCCATAATCATTTGGAAACCTGGGTAGTGTAAACTGGTCGTAACCAGAAGACATGCTCGGATAGCAACTGGGGTCGTATTTAGTTTGGAAATCCACGTAAGGGTATGGTTCACTGTGGATGGATGGAACAGGAAGAGTACCTTGACGTGTGGCTGGACCAAAGTTGGTGACACCTGAAGTTGTTGGCGTGGAGTACTTGCTATTGGCGTGTTCGGCCTGATTAAATAATTGAGCTCCCTTACGGAGTCGGTGAGTGCCAGAGCTACAGGACTTATTCAAAGTCGGAGCAGATGTTCTAGGAGTAACAGTGCAGGAGGGGTCAGGCGGCGGCGGAAATATTGGTTCCACCTTTTGGGAGACATTACGTAATCCAGCATCTTTTTTGCGGAGAACGGTCTCGACTTCAGACGGATGGAGTGGAGGTAATTCTTTTAAGTCCTTCAAAAATGTGGAATCAGAACTATCACGGAATTCCGAAGGATTCATTCGTTTAACAGTGTTCAACTTCGAGTGAAATCCAGAATAGCCAGAATAATTGGCATTGAACATTTCTTGAGATTTTCCACCTACAGAACGAATTCGCTAATGGGAATAAAAGCAGACAGCACAACTTACCTTAGGTGACCCTATCTTCATACGGTTAGCAACGCGTTTATTTTTCTTTGACTTTGAATCTACTGAGTGCAATCGCAAAATTAAACTCTCCATAAGCTGCCGGTTGACATTTAAATTATTCTCCGTCAAGAAAGCACTGCGTGCGAGACCAGCATTGTGTGTGTGCTTTAATGACGCCAGCCGTTTTTCCAAACGAATTAAAGGACTCGTGTCCAACGTCAACACCTTGCGTACGTTATACATAGTCTGATAGAGTAAAGACAAGACTTGGGAAAAGCAATAACCAAATGTCAACGAATCATCTCACTCACAATCAACGCGTTACTAGAAGACTAACTAAAACAAACAATAACACCAAATTATCAAACAACATTTAATACATTAAATAATGCAAAATTATTTATTCACTACCCTACTTCAAAAGGTCAACAGTGTACAGATGGAAGTCAACAAGCTGATTTAATTTTAAAGTCATTCTTAATGTAACTGCAAATTACTGAATTCGCCGGTCGTTCTTACAGGAAAGGGAGATCAGTGATTTTTGTAAGTGTCACATAAGTATTTTTGACGTGTTCATCTAGCCATCGAGCAATGGACTTCCCTCACTAAGTATGTCTGCAGATGCTTTCGAAGTGTCGCGTAATTAAATGAAACCAAATAATATGATTCATTTGCTTTGTCAAAACTTGATGAGTCCTTGTGGAGGATCCCACTTAAACATTTATGACTGAAGCTAGCAGATTATCTATTTAAATCTTTTGTAGTTATGCTGAATCAAAATGTAACGAATCGTCTTTCCTTCAACGGCGTGCCCGTTAGTCATGCTGGACAGCCTGTTCATTTACCGCTCTGTGTGTACTACCGCCACTTACTTTATCCATGCAAGCGTTCAGACGCCTGGACCTTTACTAGTACACTAAACTGTACCAATCAGTAAAGGATTCAAACAAAAACATAACTGTGTTGAACTATCATATTAACTGTCCTTTCTGCAATCTCTGGTCTTATATCTTTTTTAGGTACTTTGAGTTGTAGTAAATCTCAACAATTTTAAAGTTGAGGCAATTCATTTACTTTTAATTACTCAGTTATCCGCGTTGCAAATAAGTGACAACGAAAACGGATGTGTTTGTGTATCCAGAGATTTAACCGTTTGTGAAATAATTAAAGCAATGAGATCTTCTTTGTTACAAAAAAGGCTTAATTCACCACTTAAGATATTCGAAAGCAAAGAATTTATTTATTAACCTGAATCAAACTTTGCGAGATAATTATCTGTTTCTCCAAATGGCTATTTAATTGAAAATTGTTTAGGCATTACAATTGTTCCCACAAAATTAGTGGATCCAATCTATTGCATATTTATGAGTCAACATCAATAGCGCACTTACTTATACATTGAGCATAGCATTTTTTTATTACATCCTCTAAATACCTACTCATCGTCAGAATAAGGAAATTGCTTGACCGATTGAATACATTTACATCAGGAAAAATCCTTGAATTTACTTACGTGAGCTGATAAGTCTATCAATTCATATCAAAATTGAAAAACCAACAAAACACTTTTCTGCTCCACTTGTATGGATTCAGTCAACCCTGAGGGAACGTACACCAAAATTTCGGAAAACTCAGTTTCGTGCTGCTGATTCAAACCACTTGTTCCTTATCATTTTTTACCTGATGCCTGCAATTTAGATGCAATGTAACATCGCACTATCTGCGTACATAAATTGTTAATGCTACTGAACATTAATAAGTCTGTAATCAATTTTTTGAGGGGAACCGTGCGAGTATTTAAATTGTCTGTAAATTGCAAGTGGAATCTGATTTGTCAAACGCTCACAGGTGTGGCTTTTAAGTTAGTGTGTGCCTAGAAGATGTCATCACCTAATCCAATTTACGCACCTTTTTTTGGGATACTGGGTACTTCGGCGTCAATGATTTTTTGTGGTATGTCTTGCAAATTTTGGCATTTTTAGCAATGGGTGCTGCTTATGGGACAGCTAAGGCCAGTATGGGGATATCATGTATGGCTTTACGAAAACCCGACCTAATAATGAAATCACTTATCCCCATTGTCATGGCTGGAATTATTGCTGTATACGGTTTGATTGTGTCAGTGCTTATTGCTTCGGAAGTCAAAGTTGATTACCCAATGGAAAAGTTGGTTTTTTTCTTGATCTAATTTTGAGATAGGTCGTTGAGTCACCTAGGTGCTGGTATTAGCGTGGGATTGAGTGGCCTTGCTGCTGGATACGCAATCGGCGTCGTCGGTGATGCAGGAGTTCGAGCCTATTGTAAAGAAACTAGGATATTCGTCGGCATGATTCTAATTCTCATTTTTGCCGAAGTTCTTGGTCTATACGGCTTGATCTTAGCTCTCATACTCGTGTCAAAGTAACAACCCTTCGTGTATTTTCTCCCTTTAATGGTAAATGCATTCCTTTTTTCTCCTCACCAGCCAACTTCGAATGTCTGCCCTTCTTTTTCCGCGTTGTAAATCATTGTGCATACTAACGTTCTCACTGTCTTTACAGACATTTTGCATCTTCGTTGTTGGTTGTGGATAACATGGTTATTCTGTCAGTTAATTCCGATGCTTTAACAAGCTAGAATATTAAAATTGGCACTCATGATTAGTAACTCGCCTTGTTATCTGCCCTTTTCTGGACGGTCGGGTAGGAAATTCGGGTTTTGTTGACCCACGTGTTCATTTTAGGTGGTCTGGACCGAATTGGGGTTTTAATATTCTCATTGACGTAATTGGACAGTTTTTGTGGTGTAAACTGAAGACTAAAATAAGCTATCACTCTTAGTGGTCGTGTTTTTATCAGTGATGTGCGAAAATCATAGACCGCGATTTATTGGATGCATCGTTACCATCTAGGTAATTGTTCTAGATCCATTCCTTGTGCCTCGTGGTAAGGGTGACTTGTTTATTGCTGTGTATCCTCAGATAGTTTTGCCTTCTTTTTTTCTTTGTTTATTTTCAATATTACACATCGATTGCTATGAACTAGACAAAAAAATCACTACTACGTGATCATCTGTATCAGTCCCTAAATTATACCATTATAGAACAGCAAGATTCGCCGCTATTCTCATCGAAATTGTACTTGACATGTCCAGATTTGCCGACTCGCGTAAGTGTCTAAAAAAGGTGTTGAAATTCAAATGATGAAATAAGGGACTTTTCAACAGATGCTTACGGCAACAAGTTTAACTTACCATTAGCGTTACGGCCATGCATTTCTGTATGTATCAACCTAGCACCATTTAGGTGAACTCATCGTTTCCCTATCAGTTTGATTTGTTTATTTGACGATTCAGACCCTTGCACTTAGGTGACATGCAACGCATTTCTACTTGGAATTTAGTTTCTGGTAGTGAAATTATTGGTTGATGCCCGTTTTTTCTATTCGACTCAGCCTTTTAAGCAATGTACATAGTTTTTAGCCTTTAAAATCAAACTGTAGTGTTTAGATTCTATTGTAAAGGCGGGTTTTTGCCGCTGAAGTGCGGTTATACATCTCAAAGTTTAAGTTGTGGGACATAAATTTTGCAACTGTCTGATTCTTTGCTCTGCAGCTAAATTCCTACTAGACCTATTTGTTTGTGCTGGCACTTTTTGTTAATGTCTTTCCCACATCTATCATCCCGTCTCATTCTTATTGCCATTTATGTGAAGCACTATTGATGGCGTCTCCCTACGTCAATCGGTGTGCGCCTCCCTTTCGCGTCTGTGACTCGTTAAAACGCTATTGCGTTTCCATGCTCGGTGATTTGGAGTCGGGTAGAGGGCATGAAAGCTTGTTGCCGGAACTAAAACCAGCTAAATCTTATCACCAGAGTCATGCAACAACAGATTCCCACTATTGAAAAGTCTTCCATTACTCCCTCCATGTACTAAATCAATTGGAAATGTACACAGTGACTTCTAAGAGTAATCGTCAAATGCCATTAAAGAACCATCAGTGCATTTTTGTGTGGTCTGGGGTGAACCAAAGTATTAGAACGTGGGTGGTTCACTGCAGGTTTGAATTATTTTTAATATGAGAGGGTCACCGGCTTGAATTGTCTCTTGTAATCTCTCATCTCTTCTAATTTCCCTATACATGAATTGCTAGTTACGAGTCTGCACCAATGTTGCGGTCCCATGTATGAAATCTCCTATTTTAGGCCTCACGTCTGGTCTTTTAAGTGACTGCCACAGTCACGTCCTTTCACGCGTTGTTTAGTTTCTAGTCCAAATGTGTCGCTTGAATTCTATAAGTTGTGCAGGCCAGGTTTATATCGTTCGTTTATAAACAGTGCGTTCTGATCGGATTAGCACTTTTCATTGTTGCCTAAATCCCCACTTTACCATGGGATAAAACTTCTTCCAGCGCTTCATGAACTTAGCAGTTGAAGCGTTAACAGAGACACCATTGTTCTACACATTGCTCTTGATGTATTAACTAGATTACATGAATGTAACATTTTCAATAAGTATGCCCAGGATTCGCTTCCCATTTTTTCAATTCGCCTCATTAAAGTAATATTTGAGTTAAATGAGAGCTTTGTGCCTGTCAGCGCGATGCTATCAATAGCCACATAACTGCGGTTCTTCAAAATTAAAAGCGGGCCTCAATTTTATCCAAGGTAGATCGCTATTACTAGATTTTGGTAGTAATTAAAACAAATATGTGCTTTTTGGTGCACAAGTAGTATCTTGAGGGAATCCCATGTCAGTATTAGATTCTTAATTAGTTGGACGAGTGTGGCCTGTGCCGACGCTGTGATCACCTCTGAATAACCTTGAATTTTTTCATCGACCGGTTTTTTTGAACAGACCATTTGCGCCCCGTGCACTGCAAGGGCCATACGGTTTTAAAATGCCTTCAAAAAGCTCTTCAAAAGGCAAACAGAAGGGCAAAGGTTCAAAAGGCTCTAAAAATTCAAAAGGCTCAAAGGGTTCCAAAGGGTCCAAGGGGAAAGGTGTAGCATACCTCGAAATACCCCCAATTAAACTAAAAGATGTCAAACGTAAAGTGACGTGCTCGAGATGTGACATCAAGGATTACACCTTCGAACACTTTCGTTGCCTGCGATGCAAGCTGGTGCTAAACAGCTTCCAGGCATTTATAGACCATTGCTGTTGGAGAAAATATTATGCGGCGAAATACCACCTTGGAAATACGCAAGCATTCGCCTGTCGCACCTGTGAGCTTATTTTTTATTCACACGCTGACTATGCTGCCCATCGATGCCCTAACGCTAAACCCTGTGAATTGAAGGAATTTTGGCAACCTGAGGATATACTTCCCATAACATACCCAATTCACCATCGCTTCTATATTGATTGGACACGAAGAGTTGAAAGGGAGAACACTCCGCATGACCCAGATTATCATTTCACATGTCGTTGTTGCAAATGCAATAATCGGTTTAAAACAAAAGTTGAATTTTTGATTCATAGCTGTTGTATGTTTGCTCTCCTAAAGCCTGCGAGTCTTCGACGCCTTAGAACTTGTTTACACTGTAAGTACGTTTTTCTCAATGAGTTTCAATACAAAAAACACGTAAAATACTGTAACTCGAAGAAGGCGTTTTGTGTTGCCTTTGCACTCACTACTGCGGAGATTGGTTGTCTGCTATTTGTGACCGGGAGACACTGTTTCGATTTTGATCACCATCTCCACCACGAAACGTGCCTTACAACACCCAATTTAGGCGAGCCCCCGGGGACCCTTGTGCGGCAGCCTGAACCAACACCTCCCGGTCCTGTGGTAGAGGCCTGCTGCGCGGAATGCGGTTTCATGCAACCGAACTTGATTGAGTTCCTCTACCATCCATGTGTGGCTGGAAAAAGAATCACTCCAATGAATTTAGAACTAGTGCTCTACTGTTGCGAATGTCAGTGTCTATTTCCTGATATTTTTGAGTGCATTGATCACTTCAAATCCTGTTCCTCAATGAAATTCATTTTTGTAAGACTCAATACACCTGAACTTCTACGTGTCGCCCTAAGACGTTGGTGCATTGAAATGACTGAAAATGCCTACCTCCCGGCACGTCAAGTCAAGTTCAGGTGTGGCGAATGCGAAGAGATATATGGCAAATTCATTTCCTTTTTGGAGCATCCTTGCCCAAAGCGAGAGAGATACGAGCAACTTTTCATACAGCCGCTAGGTGTTTTGGAAACTTACACGTGTGAGGCATGCCATATTGTGGTGTTCTCAGTGTCGGAATCCTTTGAACACTCTAGACTATGCAAACGTGGCTGTTATCCACATATGATCCAGATTCATTACAGCATGGACGAAGTGGTTGCCGCCCTGAAACCCTGGATGAGCTGCCCCCAGTTTCTGGAATTCAACGTAGCCATAGGTATCGGCGAAGAAAAAGATGAATTGGAGATGCAGGAGCGTGAAATAAGAGATGCATGCAGACTGCCCCATCATGATGTGATGGAACGATTTCACAATCCAGACGAAAGACCCTCAAAACGGTTAGAAAGATGGATAAGTAATTATTTGGGAAAACCACGTCAAGCACAGGAAGTCTCTAGTGGCTGTGTCATGCTCCCCACATGGCCAAAATACAACACCAAGGTGTGCACAATGCCACGTCTTTGATGAATAATTCCATCAACGACATATTTCATCAGCCACATGCCCACATCTTAGCAGCGTTATGTTACAAGGATACCAAATAACTTTTGAATACATATAATTTCAATTAGGTTGATGGGCCGGTGAATATGTGTGCTTGGCAAGAATGTTGCTTTCAATATACTTACTCACATGAGGGCGTCACCCAGTTAGTGGATTTTTGCATTCCTGCTGTTTTATTATATTAACACATAACTTATTGCTATTGTGATTCATATTTGGACATGTTTACCCAACAGTGAGGTCTAGCAGCTGTCCTTGGTCATCGAACTTCGCCTCAGACCTTGTTAATTGCTCAAGACTTTTAACCATGATGCCGCCGAACAACCCAGAACAATACAGTTTATAACAGGATATGTAGGATAGACAGGGGTGACTCAGTAGTAACTCATTTTGTTTGGGCTTATATCTGTATGGCCTAAATGACGGGAATGGCAGGCCAAAGATAAGTCTACAGTTGCATTTAAAACTGCCATAGAGATTAGGACGCACACTTACGAAATTTCATTTATAACTTGAAAAACTCATAAACCAAAAATCAAATATGCGCCATTTAGTGATCTGCGAAGACTTACCAAGTCATAGTGGCTATTATAGGCTTGAAAAATTCAAAACAACTTCGCAGTCTGAAATTGTGCTCTAAAACGTTTTATAATTTAGCAAATAACACATCAAACTCTTGTAAATTTTTTTAAGTACATAAGTTTTTCTATGAAATAGAAGTTAAATCAGCACTTAACAGACTATAAGTTCCAAAATCCCGCTTAGACATATACAAATTAAACAGAGTTGTTCCCGAAAGTTAAAAAAGGTAGCTGCCATATTTGCTACTTTCTAAACGTAAAATAACCTTTGGCTTTGCTTCGACCACTTAAACTTGGGAAGTGCGTGTACTGAAATAGTTTAAAGGCTTCAATGTTAATTGGCCATCTGACTCGTAGAGAAAATTGTTGTTCTTAGTAGAATATTCCAGTTGTGTTGATTTTGGCCTGAATGAACTTGTTACAAAACTTCACAAAATGTGTCCCTTTTCTGTAATAATGGAATTTACTTAATTTTTATTTATTAAACTTTACTGCCACCTTCTTCTACAAAAAACCATTTGAAATACTGTTTGCGAGAGATTTGGTATGCTATTAGCATGGGCCAACTCACTTGGCTTAAATTGCTTGCTTGGTATTTGGACAACTAATAGTAAAGTATGCTACAGAAGTAGTAGTTTTAGTATTAGCTGAAATACTTTGTTGCAAAGATTTATATAAAAATTTACTACAAATTGACACCACAAGCCATTTCTTTACGCATAAATATAACTGGAAGAAAAACAAACGAAGGATGCCTTCAAAGAGGGAATTTGAGCACTCTTGGATTTTTTAGTAACAGCAATAAGGCCCTTCAACTGCTTCCCTTCCCGACTATAGCTTTTGTGCGACTTAAACCAATGACGTAGAAAGCCTACATACGTTCGCATTACACCCGAGTATATTTGCCCATTAATACTTGGGAGTCGTTTGTTCCCCACACCACTTTGTATACTGAGATTTAATCCAAACCTCAATAGTTGTTGGAGTTTGTTTACGAAGAGGTTTGATCAAAAAACCACAGCTGCACAATTATGGAGGTCTAGGCAACTCTGGATAGAGAATTGCAACGTTTTAGAGTTCTCCAGAAATACGTTGTCTAGGCTCAGGCTTCCAAGGTTCAGTAGTTGCGAGGGGTCACCACCTTTTTCCTAGACTCGAGCCCAATGGCCACCTTACATACTTTTACACCTCGTGTTGTCTGAATTTATTTCCTTGGGGCTAATCCTTACCCTTTCATAATTCAATGCCCTTTGAAAGGGCCGAGCCGGGGCGATGCGGCGGCAAAAACGCCTTCTACTTAACAATCATTGAGTTCTAAGTGCGCAGGAAAAGATCTAAAACTTAGGGTATAAACAAAATTAGCATCTATTGCACTGTTCATAAAGGCCGAGGGGGAAAATGTGTGTGTATTGTTGCATGTACGTGCAGCTAAGTCTTAGCATGCAACGAAGGTACTGAAGATACTATAAGGACTGTGGTTTTGAGCATTTTGGAAACCGCCCAGATTTCGACGTGAATGAAAAAACACATTGACGCCTGATAAGATTGAGTGTGGAAATTACACTTCGTTTACAAACTCAGCTGTTTCCACGGAATGTTTAGCTACCATAAATTACATGCTGATTACAGGATTTGAAATTTGACTTTATACTACATTAGTTATTTAATCCAATTCTGCAGCCCGATATGTGTGCTTAACATTTTTTAGTTGACAGTCTTTTGTAGGATGATTGAGATCTAACTCGAGCGGGAACTAGTTACCACTTTGTGCTCATTTACGCATTGAATGTACAAGATTTTCAAACGTTTTCTGATGGTCTTCTCTCACGTAATAGATCTTGAAGACCTAGGCCTAGGTGGCATACTTCAAAAGCCAAGTTTTTGGAGGAATAAAGATGTGTTTAATATTAATTATAGTCAAACAGATGACTACTCTAGACAGCAGAAAAACTGATGTACAATGCAAAGTACTGGACTAACGGCCCAGTCTGACACCACGATCCTGTGGGCTTATCAAGGTGCCGGCCAAGAACAAGCAAGTTCCTGGAATGCTCTTTAATAAATAAAATACTGTGAGGGAAGAAACTAGTTATTTGTGAAAGCGAAATGCCTTCCTGAGCACTAGACGCGTCATCTTACAGTTCAAGAAGTTAAATAATTAGTTAATCATCGGTAAACTTAAGAACGCGACCGGTCAGTATAAATGTTGCGGCGCAGTTAAAGCGGTTAGTCCATTCGCCCAGTTAGTTTAAAGGGAGTAGTATATGGGTAAGATTCAAGGTGAAAGAAAAGAAGCCTTGACTAACAGAGTAGTAAAAGAGAAAAACATCAGTATTAGCAATATTAGTAAAAAATGCGTGCTTGAATTCCAGTAGCACTTCCAAAATATATAATCAGGAGCTTTGAAAACGGTTCACCACGAAAAACGTACTATGGCAAAAAGGAAAAGTAATTAGCAAAAGTTGTCACGCAGCATTTGAACTACTCACGGATGGTCTTCATATGAGGATGAAGTTTTACAAAAATAAAAATTTCTAAAGAATAATTTATGAGAAATGTATAGGTAACACGGCTGATGGTTTAATTTTGTCATGCCCACTATCTCATTATAAACGAAACATCGTGCAAATATAATTCAGCAATCCGGCATTTGTTCAAAGGCAAAAAATATGACACATTAAATTTTATTTAGCATTATGTAATTATTTATTCGTGTAATGTAAACTAGAACTCAAAACGCGAAAGGATAACTAAATTCAAAATGACTTGACAGAAAATAAACTATTAAAAAGATGCTAATAATAATTTCTGCAACCGTTTGCCCTTTGCTTATCATCTATGATATATCGAATTTAAAATGTTACAAAGTAAAATTATCCATATAAGAAGTTAGCATCAATGGTAACCGTTAGCTAGCGAAAGAATTTTATAACTTTCTACCGTCAATATCATGGACAAGGTCGAATACTGCAGTTAACGTATCGTATCAATGTACTTTTTCTGATCATGTATTCATCTGCCATCTCAGCAGACAAAGATTCCACAGTGATATTTAGGCACAGAACATTCCCAGCATTTTTACAGTTTTCAAATGCGAAACCCATCTTTTTCATCCTTGAATGTTTTTTGGCATGACATACTTTGTACACAGCCAAACTTCTATTAGAGTCATGCACTACAAATCGTCACATTTTGAAATAAGCCAAAATTTAAATTAAATATTTTTGACTATTTTGCGTTTACGCAAATTATCGATCATAAGGTGTGTGTATCTAACAGGACCTTTTTATTTTTATAATAATTCAGACAATGGAATGATTTAATATTATATATTAATTTGCTGTATTTTGTGCCCGTGCACTTAATAATATGTTAAAATTGAAATTAATATCTTGCCTAACATAGCGTTTTTTTAATTTTTCCTAGATTTTGTTTTTAGTTTAGTTTTGTTTTATTACCTAATGGGAACGCAGGAAGAATGACTTATCTCAGACCTTGCGCTTTTACCAAGGTCATTCCTTCTGTGTACCCTTCAGTGAACATGCCCGGCTGCATGCCCTTTTGTGTGTGTATAGTTGGCTGTTCACTCCTGTGCTCGATTAATGCTGCGGTTGTTCCGCTTGAAGGAAACGTTAATGGCTTACGTTCAAATGGCTCAGATAACCTATCTTCGGATTCTAATTACCAGGGGTTTCTTCATGCATTTCTTGCGTCCATTTACGTGATTCTTATTTCTGAACTTGGTGACAAGACGTTTTTTATCGCTGCCATCTTATCCGTTGAGCATCCAAGATCAGTTGTTTATGCTGGGGCCATGCTTGCATTGATTACAATGACAGTCTTGTCGGCTCTCCTCGGTTTCGCCACTGACGTACTTCCTCGCGTTTACACATATTACATGTCTGGCTTCGTTTTCATGATATTCGGCATTAAGATGCTTAGAGATGGTAAAGTAATGCTTGTAGTAATTTTTTAGCATATTATATGAGTCCCGATAATGCGAAGGACGAATTTAATGAAGTGGAACAAGAGCTTTCTGCAAACGACAATAGGGAGCCGACGAGCTGCATTAGACTTCGGTTTATTTTACGTAGATTTCTTTCTCCTGTATTTGCCGAGACATTCATAATGACATTCTTGGCAGAGTGGGGCGACAGGTCTCAGATTACTACCATTGTTTTGGCAGCACGTGAGGTGGGTCAAGTTCTTGTCTGCGCCACTAACTTGTTGTAAATAACTCTAGCAAATTAAAGCTAGCCCATTTCAACACTAGTTTGATCTTTTTTTAACGTGCCGTCGGATTGTTCTTGCAAATTTTATACTTGGATATAGTCTTGTTTGTACATTTCTGGCTCCTGATTGAAGGCATCTGTCGTGCTTCGTTTGTAACGCGTGGGGAGTTTTTCTTCCCAAAGCAAAATATTAATTCATGTCTTAGATTTTGAAGGTTTTTGTTCAATCTTTGTTTTTTGATAAAGCACTTGCTATTTGAAAGATTGGAAATAGTGTATCAAACCACCACGTAAAAAGCGATAAATGCTTCGTAGGTGTGCCAAAGTAATTAGATTATCAAGTAGGGACGTGTGTCTTAAATTTCGCCTCTCGAATGGAGTTGTTCCTCGGACAATATCGGTTTTTATGCCTGCTGGGTCACCTTCTTATTGTATTATATTTGACGTGACGTCGTTGTCTATTATCGTATTAACTTCACAGATTAAGCTTGGGTACGTGTAGGCTTATGTGACCTCTACTATTGTGGCAACCTTGTTAAACCTTTCATCCCATAAATCACTTCTATATAATCTCCGCCACAAGACGTATAATAACCGTCAAAATGTTTTCTGTGAGGCTGACTTGACTCTCATCATTTAGTTTTTTTGTCCCACTGTCTCGTGTTTTTCTGTAGCACACACCGAAGAATTTTTACCTTTAAGAATGTAATGGGCGTGATCGTCGGTGGCGTACTTGGACATGGACTGTGTACAGGTCTAGCTGTTCTCACTGGTCGTCTTGTAGCCCAACGCATTCCTGTCAAGTGGCGTAAGTATTATTTTTTATTGTTTCCCTTCGGGTGACATGTAGAATGATCGATTTATAGAACTGGAGTGCTGGAAATTAGGGTGTCTTAAGTAATTCAAAGTGTGTGCATAACTCAGTAATGTGCGAATCGTCATTGATTAACTTTTCCTTATTATCCGTATTCGAAATGATGTACATGTTTCTTACTGGCCGGTTGCTCTAGCTAAATTTCTGTCAACGTCCAGATTCTAATTAATTTGGTCCATTCAATTTACGGGATGTTGCGTACTATTAACTGACGCTATTTCAAGGCTGGTCTTCGGTCATTAAGTTTGTTAATTAACTCTTGGTACTTTATCCGTATCCAAATTGCCTTATTTTAGCCATTTGTGATTGCGTCGAATTTTGTATGGGTATCCATGTTGCCAGGTGTATTGTAGTCTTAGTGAAAAGGGAACGGCTGGCTTTGACTGGCTATAATCAATAGTGGGCCACTTTTTAAGTCCATTTTGGATAGCAGGTTTAGTTCACCTTTTGTGACTCATATCAGCACAGGAACTTCTCTGGTTATTGTAGAGTCAACACCAGAAGTCGAACTGATTTTTTTCAGACAAAATATACGTTTTAATGTAACCAATGCAACGCTTATATCCTTATAACTTAGCGTTTTTCGTATTTTTCGTAAGTCGCTTGTGTATGGGGTATAAGTACACAGTCGTGCCATGGGTCCAAGCTGACCCATCATGCCATTTTTGAAAACCGTGTGGTAAACCGATAATACTCATTCTTTTTACTGACCTGTCAGTAGGTTGTCGCTTCACTGGCGAAGCAGGTCACTTTGGTGCGTCTGATATAATTGGTAAAAAAGTCAGTGCTGTCAACGCTGCCCAAAGCACTCTTCGATCTATTTGCTCGATTTTATATCGTTTCTGTCAGGTCCATCTGAATCTGTACCCACATCACCATTACACGCAGGGAAGGTTGTTTTTGTTTTTTTTTTAAAGAATCATCGACCCACTTTTTAATGCAATTTATTTGACCTTTAACTGCTCGTCAACAAGGTTTCGTCTCTCTACTGCCATCTGGATACCATTACTTGACGTGAACAGATTTCCACTGGCGCAGTTATTAGAGGCGCACATACCAAAAAAGACTGAAAGTTTTTTACATCCAACCATTTTTTTTACGTTTTGATTTAGAAGCTGGTTAACAAGGCGATCAGCACCTAGAATTGAATAGGATTTGTGAATCATGTTCCGTTGTCCCTCGCGATCTCACAAAAAAACTGCCAAATCAACCTAGTTGTGCGTTACAATTTGGGTGTAGGTGAAGTGAATTTTTCGCTTAAATAGCGTATTCTTTAGCAGACGGCGTAATTTTGTTGAATCACTTTTATCCACTGTCATAGGATGTTCATGAAAAGGTTCTGTTCATTGTTGCTTCGAAATAAGTGGCATAATTAAGCTCTATCAATCGGTCTTCCTCATTAAGGTCGTAGAGTAAAAAATGAGCTTTAACATGTTGGTAAATTTCGTTTTGTTCTAAGCAGTTTAGTAAAAACTACGCTGATTCAAGATGTGTGCTTTTGTAAATAATTTCAGCAATAACATTAACAAGGTTTGATGGTTTGCCCTATTTAAGTAATTATCCTAACAAAAGTCGGCCCAACAAACCATTCAAAAACACTTTGGACATGTGTATTCCGTTACTGCTCACATAATCGGCACTTAGTTGGAATCGCACACTTCGGTCTGACGGTGCCAACACTTAAGGACTAACCTACAGTACTCAGTGACTTACATCCGCATGCTATCTCGTAGACTGTCATTGTTGCTCTTACAAATTAAAAAAGCGGGAATCCATATTCTAAATCTTAAGTTGCTACGTCTGTAGTGACGATCTATCAGTGTTTGATTCAACAGAAAGCTTTTTATCATCAATTTATGAAAATTAGAGAAATGAAAGGCTTATTTTTCACTAAGACTACAACAAAGGATTGCAGTTTTCCCCTCAGAATGCATGCATAGAAACGTAACTCAATCATGCCTCGTTGGAAGACAGGGTGCTCCGACAAGTAACGTGG